GCTTAAGGTTTATCTGAGGCTACCCAAAATGTTTCTCAACTTGGCTGATCCATCCAGTGTGCTAGGTGGAAGTGAGATTGGTGGCAGCTCAGCTCACAGATGCTTGCCTCTTTGGCAAAATTATCCCATGCTGTAGGATGATTTGGACTGCAGCGTAGCTTTCCAAAGACTGAAAAAAGCAAACTAAAATCTGAAAATTGTGTCAATGGGGGTGGGACCACAGGACTGGAATAACCAGGAACAGTGCAAGTAATGACTGGTGTGCATTAACACAACTGTAAGGGTGATGACTGCAAGCACAAACTAGGTGGGGTTTGTTGATGGTTTGGGTTTTTGGTTTTTTTAGCTTTTTGACCTAACCATTCTTGCTTTATCCTTCAGGACTGAATTTCTTTTTGGCCCCTCCTCAGGCTTGTTTTGCTTTATATTACAACTCTGCCTCCCCTCCTGTTCTGTTTCCTCCATGCGTGCACATCTTGAGTTCTCATTTTGTGAGTTTGGGTCTTTCCCTTTTGCTCTGTGACTGGAATGCTCTAGGACAAATGTGGATGTCTCCACCTTCACTTGTTACAGATGTAGATGTTCCCAGGCTGCAACTCCTCTTGTCCTAAAGTAGGTATCTAAACAGGACAGGTTAATAGAGTCCTAGAAATGTGATGTTTATTTCCACTAATTAGAAGGGAAGGAGAGAGTAAGAAGATCAGCTAGAGATGTCTCTGTGTACATCTGCAGTTAGGTGAGATGTCTATCCCCTTTGACCTCAATTTTCTCATTTCATGGTCTCACCATGAGCATATTGATGCTGCCCAAATCCAGACTCACCTGAAGAAATAACTGACTGCTGTTTTGTCCCCTGCTTGTTTTGTCCCTTGCGAGGACACGGGGGACTCTGATCTTGCAGAAGGAGATCCCACAATGCTGGCATGTTCAGAAGGGAGGCAACTTTAGATAGGTGGAAGTTTGGCTTCCCAGGATGAAATGCTTTTGTTTCTCTAGCAGGGGACAGCTTGAATTCTCATCTGCTTTTTTTTGTCAACAAAGTGCAAAGTGAATGTACAATGCCAAGGCTGTGCAGTTCTGTCTGTATAATGGTATCTGTCCACTACAAACCCACAGGTGCAACAGCCTAGAGTTCAAAAAACTGGATGATAAAGACTAGTATTGGATAAAAAGCAAAGTAAATAATATTCTCTCTGATGTATAGAATCCCCAGGATAGCTATCTACTAATCTCCCCAGGGATACCTTGCCCTCCTTTGCTGGGACACTGAAAACTAGGCTGGAGAAAACCCCAGAGAACAACACTGCAGAAATTGCCTGCATCAAACAAACTGGTGAGTCAGATAAACTGTCTCACTGCTTGTCGTGAATCAAAAACTGCTATTAACTTGGCCTGATGTCAGTGGGTTTGTGATGCATTGCTCCCATTGCACAGAGCGAATCCTCTTCTTCTTACTGACGTGGTTTAGCAGTGCCACAGCTTGAAATTTATTTTTTTTTGTGCTGAATTCTTTATCCTTCATGATATTGCTTCTTGCTAAATTTCATTACTATATAATAACACCAGGTTGCTTCTTTTCCCCCATCCCAGAAATCAATGAAATGCTGCTAAAACTGCTAGGAAATAAGACATAGCTTAGCAGGGTACAGTAGTACACAGAGTATTTTCCCTTATTGCTTCAACACCATGCAAGAAAAAAGAGGGAGAGCGATTCACTGAATTTTGTATGATAAGTCCTATTCAAAAAGCCAGACTTATACTTGTGATATCCACAGTCCATCATTTGGTTTGTATGATTCCTCTCTCTTGACTTGAATATGTGGTGAAGTGACTTTAAATTGTTCCTGCTGCTCCATAGCCTCAGAGTCAGTCCAGGCTCTTTCATCCACAGCAGAAATCAGTGCAGTTTCTGGGCTGCTTCAGCAGAGTGTCATCTGCCTACTGCTGTCTGCTCCCCAAAGAAGAGTAATGGGGACAGTGAGGCACCTTTGTGCAGTTCCTCTGCCAGCCAGGGATCTCTAGGCGCCACGGGCACTCCCTGGAAATCAGATTTGCCACCGTGGTGAGTTAACAGGGAACAAAACATGGCAGGAAACTGTGTTTAAACCTGCCTGCTTATTAAGCAAGAACAGCGGAAACACTGTGATCTACCCCACAGCACCGAGGTTGCCAGCTCCCCCACTTTGAGTGTGACCAGATTTCCTGCCTATCCCTCCAGGACAACTGTCAAGAGCTTACTAGTGTAGGAGCTGGACCCCACTTTCAGCTGCTGATGCAACAGGGGCATCTGTGTGGCTTAGCGGTTCGTATGTCTTGGCCAAGGCACTCGGCAGCACAGCAGGTGTGCAGGACCTCCCAGTGTCTGTCTGTCCCTGTGCTTGCTGCGTTACGGGCCCGTCTGTTGTGCTGTGCTAAAGGAGGCTGTGGGACTGCTGGCTAAAACCTGTGCATATTTTCAGTAGGAAGATACAAAAATTTTTAAACACAATGAAATACAGTGTCAGGGCTTGTGTTCCTGAAGCCACATTACCTATTCTTTGCTGCTCTTTCGCTTATCTTGCACATGTTGAAAAAAACCCAGAAATTCTACTTTACTAGGATCTGTCTGTCAGGGCTTTATAAGAAACTAGGCTTTGCTGCTGGCTAACAATAGTCTTTTGGCTCAAATTTAAGGGTAGATGGTTGTGCATTGGGACTCTACTCTTAGCTTCATAATTCAACGTCTCCTCTATGAATGTCTTGGAGAAGAGCAGGATTAAAAGGACTCCCCTCCCTCCCAGGGATCAAGTCATTCAGGAAAATTAACAAAATTAAAAATTAACCCAAGCTGGCCTGCTTTGCCTTACAGTGATACTTGCATCCTATTTTAATCAGTAGCCTATTTTGTCTTTGATCTGTGGTGGTAGCTGTACCAGATGCAGATGGAGTCCCTGAATAGGATTTTGTTTAGCTGTTCAGTATCAAGGGAAGGAAAGTCCACAGATGTTTTTGCTGCCAGAAGTTTTGCAGGTGCAGTGGTTCAGGCCATTGGGATGTTCCCACAGAATTTTTTACCTTTTGGAAAATCAGCAGTCATAGTTTACTAAGATAAAAATTATATGAAGGTACAGAAGTAGAGTCTTTAATGAAGATGATTCAGGGTGGGAAGTTACACGCATCTCAGAGGTGATTCATAAGGAAGTGGTGCCTAGGAACATATTGAAAAGCTAGGCTAAGAGCAGAGGGGGAGTGGGAAGCAGAAATGCACCTACTGCTAGTATTGGAAGCAAATACAAGTCTGCCATCTGATGGCATCAAATGGACCAGGCTAATATGCACAAATGGTGTCAGTAAGGAAAGTTTCACATCCCAATTAGCATTCTTGCTGAAGCTAAACATGAGTACGAGGATGCTAATCCTCACAAACTAAACACTGGCAAGTGCACATCTGTATTGTTAATCTGGCAGCACAGGCCATGCTGTGATTTTTGCATACGCCAACTAGCTTTGCCCCAGACAGGTCCCAGACACAGCCACCCCATTCTGGAGGATAAGAGAGTTTTGCATTATGGACATAAGCTGTGTGGTGCCAGCTGGCCTCGGGGCCAGGGAGCAGTCCCTGGCCCATTTCATTTGCTGGTACTTTGTAATCTGATAGTTCATCAGAGAAGCCAGGAACTATCCAGGGACCCCACAGTCCTCTCTGAATTACCGCTGGAGATACAGTGATGCTACAGAGGTATGTCGAGTGCCATCAATTCAGGTTTGTGTCACACCAATGACATGTGGTCTGTCCCACACCACCCAGCCCATCAGCACTGATTTCTTTTCCCTGTTCTTTATGCCAAGTGTGGAGTGATGCTGTTTGCTTGACCTCTCCATGGGCTGTGTGTATGTGTGTGTGGGAGGGGGAGTCAGTAAGAAATGGGGAGAAATGGTGATGCAGCAGACCAGCCACTCCAGTGCACTAAGACCCTTGTGCTTTATTCTGCCTTACAGCCCTGCAGCCCTGGGTCAACCATCACTTTGTCCTGTAAAAGTAATCCACACAGTGCACGGACTGTTTCTCAAAGAGGCCAGAGAACACGTTAGTGTACCCTGATCTGAACATAGTGAGAGCTGGTCAGTAGAAACTCAGAGGCAATTAAATCTCTCGTGCTGCAGTGAAGAAGACGGTGTCTCAGGCTAAATGAACCCAGCAGTGAGATCACTCCAGCTTGAGGGGCACTCCTTTCGTTTGCCTTGTTCCTCTCGGCTGCCTCTGCCTTCCCCTGGGTTCTGATCCTCTGTCTAGCTCTTTGTGGGATTGTTCCTAGCATTAGTTTTAACTTCTTATGTGAATGGTGTGCCAGAACAAGGTGTCTGATTGACAGGCAGCTCAGCCTCCAGTTACACTCACTGCTTCCCCCCAGGGCAGCTTTGCTTTTGAAAGGAGAGCTCAGAAAAGTGGAGAGATGTGGCAACCTCCTGGATGAAGGCTCCAATTCTTGAAGGCTAGAGACATTTCTCTAGATCCTCGTTCAGTGTGACAGAAGTCTGAGTTACAGGTTACAAAATTTTTCCCTCTGGGTCTTGCAGGCTTCAAGTGATTATAGAGTTTATTCTTTGTGACCTCTTTAAGTCTTGGCTGTAATTAAGGGACAACAATTCAGCAGTAGTTGGTGCAGTTAGTGGGTTCCATAAAAAGGTGTGTGATCCAGTTGGTAAGCCAAGAGCCTAATAAGTGCATCTGATGACATGAACAGTGGTTGCCTGGCACATCAGCAGCAAGCAAGGCAGCTCCTTCCAGTTGCACATGCTTTTTGGCTGAAGGTGTTTTGTGAGAGCTACACACTTGCCTGCTGTGCTGGACCCTGGTATGTTCTTTCCGTGCTGCAGAAATGCCAGGGACTTTGAGACCTGGGTCACTTTGGGGAGAGAGAAGTCTGAAGCCATGCAGTCCATTATGCAGTGGCTGTGTGCACATGCAGGATGCTCTAGATCATGGCTGACTAACCCTGGACCATCTCTTTCCCCACTAGATGCTGTAGAAGAAACCAAACCTACTGAAAGTGCCCAGCAGGAAGAGGTGAAAGAAGAAGAGAGCAAGGCGGACCAAGAAAATGCCTGAACATTAAGAAATGACTCCCCATTGCCCCTCCCTCCCTCCCCCTATCCTCTATCCTTCCTTCCCACCCCAATCTTGATCTCCCCCCTTCCTGCTCACAGCTGTGAGCCTGTCTGTCCCTCTCCCACTCCCACTTAAACCCTTTTTCTCTCTGTGTGGCAAACATTTAAAGAAAAAAAAAAAAAAGCAGGAAAAATCCCAGTCAAACAGTGTGGCTTAAACATTTCTTTGTTTCTTGGTGTTGTTATGGCGAGTTTTTGGTAATGATGATCCAATCATTTTGGGAAAATTCTTGCACTGTATCAGAGTTCTTTGACCTGGCGCGTGCGTGTGTCTGTCTGCCCACTGCGAGCGCGCTCTCTCTCTCTCTCTCTCTCCCTCTCCTCTCTCTCTCTTCTCCAAGTGTGTGTGTGTGCAATGTTACGTTCATCCGAGGAGTCCAGACTTACTGAGTGAGTTAAAACAAAAGAGGGAAAAAAAAATTCTTTTCTTCCTTTTTCAATGTGATGGAATGAACGAAAGAAAAAAAAAAAACAAAGACCCAACACTACAAACAAATGAAGGAAAAAGAATACTAAACCCCAGTTTGTTTTCAGAACTAAACCAACAACAACAACTAAAAAATGTGCCAATTAGCGTAATGCTTGGCTCCAGGCTCCTTTTTCAAACTGAAAATAATTCTAATAAATGAGAATAATGATCATTAATACCACTGTGTCACATTTCTATGCTGCTGTACATCCTGCTGGCCTGTGGTCTCTGGTTGGCCACTTCTTGCGTGGTCCAGTGCTTCTTGGCCAGTGGTCCTTGTGCTTCTTGGCCACCAGTCAGTGACCGACTGCTCTCCCTGGCACTGCTGAGGGGATTTTTAAGGGGAGCAGGCTTGGATTTTGAGTGAGATGTTAGCACTGACTAACGTAAATAACGAAAGTTGCAAAATCAGTTTTTAGGAAAGAACATGATAAGTGGCTCTCTAGGAGACCTCTAGGCCCTGATTTGGAAAACTATGGTGACCTTGGAGAGATGAGCCTGCAAAGGGACCTGCTTTGATCCATGCTGAAGGTCTGACCCCTGCCAAGGGGTGCACCAAGGGCCATGAGGGAACAGGGTCCTGGGGCCTGAGCTTCCCGGAAGCAGGATAATGGTCACCCCTTTGGGCTAGAGTTGGAAAAGTCACTGCATAGCATAGTGTGGCTTTCCAAAAGTGTTCTATTTGGCAAAATAAATTTGGCCAATGCATGGAATAAATAGGCACATGGGCAGGATGAGGTCTGGTGGTGTAAGAGCCAGTCAACAGCACTTTGAGAAATACCTATTCCTGCTCCCTGGTGAACTCCAGGATGGTTCACTCAGCTCTAACAAAGAAGTTTTTAGCTGTCATTTATGGCCAGGGCAGAGCACCACGTCCTAAATCTCCACCACTGCTTTCCACAGGGTGTGTGATGTTCCCTGGTGCATGTCTGCCTGTCCCAGTGGTGGGCTGACAGATGCCAAACCCTAAGCCTGCACAGCCATCTGGGTCTGCTGCTCTGTTTATGAGCTGTGAGAGCGAACAGTTAAAATATATTTAGTAATAACTGGACTTTCATAAAAGCCCACTTATTGGGTATTATTGCTCTGTCACTGCCCTGATTATGATCATGTGCTTTCCCACCAGCTCTTGCATGATTTCCTGGCTGCATTGGCAGTGACAGCCAGCGTACCCTGCAGTGTTACTCTGTGATGCTGCAGGGCCATGATTAAATTGCCCTCACAGCAGTAACACCAAAAAGATGGTTATGCTGACAGCTCCAATGTCCCTTGGTGGCTGATGCCTCTTGGAGTGGCAGCTCCATGGCCTTTAGAGGGCTGGCTGGCCCTCCCTGCCCTACTCGTTTGTTCTCCTCCATCTCTTTTTTGGAAACAGGGAGAAAAGATGAACAGTGTCTCCTCAGAAATGATCGCTTTGAACGTAGCCTGCTCACTGCAAGTGCCATCAAAACACGTCAGGATTCATTTAGATGTGCTTCCTGGCATTGTGTAGAAATAAGAGAGAGAGAGAGAGACTGGGAATATTTTTTAAAAGAGAGGGAAAGAGAGAGTGGGAGAGAGATTGGACAGAGAGTTTTAAAAACAGGGATTAGAGAGAGGAGGGGGGGGAAGATTTCTGAGTGGATAGATGGATGATAGGGAGAGAGAGGGGAGTATAGCTAGAGAAAGAAAGATTAGAGTGAAAAAGATGAGAGAGAGACAGGAAGAAATTAGATAATATGGAGCAATAGATGATTGATAGAGATAGTGAAACGTAGCTAGCTAAAGTAGATTAGACAGACTAAATAAGTAGAAAGATGGGCTGACTGACAGATAGGTATTGTGTCATACTTCATAAATGATATATATGCTAATATTCCCATGTCATGATGGGTGGTAAACCCTGAGACACCTTCCAGCCTGACCTCAATTCAGCAAATGTAGCGCAGACATCAGGCATTGCTTGGACCGTATGTCAGGTCTCACCACCCCGCCCGTTTTCTGCTGCAACAGCAGCAGGGGTGTGGATGGTGTCTGGGGAGGGAGAGCGCTCTGACGGACACGGGGGGCTGAGGCATAGGGAGGAGAGGTGTAGAGTATGTTTGCTGTTCGTAGCACACAAGGTGCCCAGCCCAGCTCAGACACTGCAGAAACCCCGTGTCTCTAGCACTGAGTTGAGAGAACTGAGGTTCAGCTCTCAGGATTTGTGGGAGAGGTGTTTGGGAGGAGGCAGGAAGGAGAGAGCACAGTTTTTGTTTGGCCTTATTTCCTGTCATGACCATTTACAACAGTTTTCTTAAGGACTGTCTTGCCTGTTTCCTCAAAGACCATGCGGTCTCCCTGCTCTTCTGACTTCAGATGCCAAATTTTTCATTTTGCCTCCAGTTTGCTATTACTATTTTTAACTTTATAAGGAAATGAAAACTGCCTCTCATGTCTTCCTGGACATAGGCCTTCCTCCCTCCTCAAAAAATTAAAAAACTTTCTCTCCCCAGGGATGTTTTATCTTTGTATTTCGCATGTTGCCTCCCCCTTGGCTGATGGTTGGGGCATCGCGCGTGTTTTGTCACCGTTCGTAAGAACATACTTTGCCATGTTGCTTAGAGAACAAAGGGTTGGGTTTTGTGTTTTGGTTTTTCCCCTCCCACAAAGAAAATGGGGTATGTGGTTACCAACTGCAAACCGAAATAATTTAAATACTAATTCCTCTCCCTTGGTTCCAGTCTAAAATTTCTAGCTGTAACCAAGCACCCCCTATCTTTCTTATTGTACCGTGTCCTGATCCTGCCAGAGAGTCAGGGCAAAGAGAGCGTGAGAGAGAACACAGAGACAAACCCTGCCTTGAGCAGGCAGTGGTTTAATGTGTAATACACAAGATTTGTATAGGAAGCTGGGCTGTCTTCAGGGTACAGGAAGAGAGCAGAGAAAAGCATTTGGATTTCCTTGAGTTGCCTCCTCAGTCAGATTTTCAAAGGCTAAAAGGAAACAGCATAAAGGATGTAGCATGGGATGGAAACTGGAAAGAGAACAAGGGTATTTGAGGAACGATTTTTCTAGCAAAATATCAAACGAGCTGAGAGCAGCAGAAGAGGCAGGAGGTCCCAGAAGTAAAGAGTGGAGCAAAGAGTAATCAGCAGAGTAGTTGAAGCTTTTCTACTAGTCCTGATGTGACAACCAACAGTAATTCCCCAGGGAATATATATCTCATTCTCTCTCCCTGAAGAGAATATAGCTTTGCCTGGAGGTGTCTGTGGTTGTTATTTTCTGTATGGAAAGGGAAGGAAGGGCATGTCAGAGTGACTCACACTGGGAATATTGTGCCTGACCTCACCGTGCAGCGCTGTGGAAATTCAGGGTCCAAGAGGGGCTTTTTCCATGCCTCTGTAGTAAGACACGCTAGTGACCCACAGCTATACTGAATGCTCGTACCAGCTGTAGGCCAGCTCTTGACATTTCACTACATTTCACTAGACTAAGCCTTGGAAAAGTGAAAAAAATTTCAACATAACCCCCACCTCCCGTCAATGCAGTAGATCGTTCGCATGGATTTGGTCTGCTTTGCAATGCTTGTGGCATCCTGACTATCTGCACTGATAGCATATAAAACCCCACAACCCTTGCAGTAGTTGCATCAGCCAAGGAGCTTCCCAATGAGCCACATTCCAAAGGGAGGGGAAGGGCATTCTGCTAAGATCCCTTCAGACCCAGTGTTTTCCAACCCTAAACCCTAATGCAGCCCCATGAGAGGCCTTAGCTAGAAGTAACTCACCTGTGGTGACCACATAAACACCGTAGCTTGGGAAGTGTGTTACTCTGGGTGAAAGAAATGGCCATGACTGAAAGAGAGGGATTTAGAAAAAAAAGGAAAGAAGAAAAAAAGGAAGAGGGAGTTCATAGCAAACTCCCCATGAGAGTTATTTCTTTTTTCTTGTGGTCTCCAAACAGCAAACTAGCACTTGAGACTTTTTGTCTGGTGTTTTTCATAGATGTTTTCGGAAGGAAATGGAGTGGCTGTGGTTTGCAGAGGTTGAGGGAAGGGTTTGAATGAATGTTTTTGTGGTCCCTCTTGGCTAAGAAGTCTGCTCGGTGGTCACCTGCAGCTCAGCGATGCCAGAAGTGGCGTTGGGGGTCCTCTTCCAGGCCTGTGCTCAGATTCCCTGCTTTTCCGCATTGCCACATTAGCACTTTCACTGGATATTTAGAGCACCTCAGGACTGGTTCTCCTCTCGCTCACACCGGGGTAACTCAGGAGTCACTCCACTGGAACCAGTGGTGTTAATCTGGTGTGAAAATAGTGCGAGAGGAGGATTCAACTCCTCGGGGGGTAATTTCCAGGTCCCCGAGGGGGAAAAAAAATCAATGGGAGTTACATGTCTAACTGCCACTTGTGCCTGTGAAAGTCTGCCCCTTATCTACCTATATGTATATAGGGTACAGTTTTCAGAATAACCTAAGTGACATGGGCACTTGAGAGCACACATTTCACTGGCTTTCAAAGAGATGCAAGTTCCTAAGGCCCAGATGCTGAAGGATGTCCAAACTCCTCTCTGCAGTGCATTTGGGGGTCTCAGGCCTGAAATTCTCCAGTCATTTCCCAAAGTGGAGCTGAAGATCATGAGTCATTTAGGTGGTTCTGAAAGCGCTACCCTCTATCCATTTTTCAGGGTGTTGATCTCAGGTCATGTGCGAGCCTGCATTCTTACCTACAATGCTTTATTACTACATTCCTCTGTTGAGCAATATTTGAAAGAAGAGGTGAAGGTTGAGATTTGCAGAACAGGCTAGTGACCCCAGTGGCTCACGTCTGGAGTGCCCAACTTGAGAGACACCTCACTGGGGTCCAAGCCACAGGTCCCCTGTATGCTCTGAACATCAAGATTCATGTATTACACACCCAGAACCACTGGCCACTTCCAAAAAATAAATCCCAGCCTGAGACCTAGACTACTCTCACAAAAGAAAATCCCAGGTGAACCGTTCACTCAATAGCTTGGTTTTTCTGCTCATGCCTGTTCCCAATGAATAAAACACATCCCTGTGCATCACCTAAGCCCTATTTTGAGGAGTTACACTGGCATACAGCTGAAGTAACACAGTAGTAAATCGGGGCCTGAAGAAGGTGGCTACAGCCTAGAGAATATCAAGAACTGTGACGTGTCTGGAAGCTAATAAGAGCAGAACTTGACGATTAGAGCGGCCCATTTCCGATGCTCTTGTGTGAGGATCTGGAAAGAGTCTCTCACTCATTGTACTTGTGCATTATGAATGTGTCCATCTGCAGAGATCTAATGTACACATATGTCCTGAATATTGTCCTAAGGTTGCAAGCTTCAAAAATGAGCAGAAAACATTCCCGAGAAGTGAGAATAATACAGATGTCTGTATTTGAAAAATTGGTTCAAATAAAGTCTCTCACTTATAGATATGTGTAGTTGCGTGCAATTATTTGCTCCTGGAACAGAAATTTCTCCCTTGTGTAGGATTTCAGTGCTTTTACAAAAAAATCTCATTCCGGTCTCCCTTGACCTTCTCAGTCAAGTCCTACTACTGTGGAAAGAAATGCCTTCTACTTATTCTGTCTGGGTAAAAAGCTATGTTAAAATGAAATTGTGAGGTAAAAGGCCTGGTATGTTTTTACTCTGCTCAATATCCATTGAGGTAGAGGATATAGGCCTGATGGAAGTTGTGGTCTCCTGTGCAAATTTCTGAGTATTTATGTAAAATGACACAGATATCCCCACAGAGGCTCTTGACCCCAGAAAGACTGGCCTGTAGCTGGCTGGGTAGTGCCTAAAAACCAGGCTGAACTGAGAAAAGCTTTTCTTTGGCACCATGGAGCTGCAAAATGTCCACAACCATATCTGGGCCTGGGATGTTCCAACTCAGGGAATTTGCTTGGGTGTAGAAATGGGAATGTGGATCACTATCCAGTAATGTTTAAGAAAAAATGAGTACAAAATGGAATAATTTATTTTTTATTTTATTTTTAGACAACTTCAAAATCACAGAATTGTTAGGGTTGGAAGGGACCTCTGGGGATCATCTAGTCCACCCTGCCTGCCAAGGCAGGGTCAACTATAGCAGCTGACACAGGATCAGGAGAGTTTTGAATGTCTCCAGACAGGGAGACTCCACGACCTCCCTGGGCTCTCTGTTCCAGTGCTCTGCCACTCTCAATGTAAAGAAGTGAGGCAACCTTGTGCAAGCGTATGTAAAGGTATCAAATTCCTCATCGCATTTCAATCTTCAGTAGTTGACTGGGAAACTCCAGAAATTTTTGATATAGAAATATATATTTCAACCTAAGAAGTCCCACCAAGTTATTTTCCTCAGTATCAGCTTTGTGCCAAGTGCAATGAAATATGAACAGAGCAGCAATTGCTTCCCAAGCTGTGCTATGCTGCTGACTTAATGCTGTGCTGTATCTGTCAGCAGCTCAAGAGCAGAGCTGAAATCAAGCATTTTGATCACATCCATTCATCCCAGGAAGCTTTGCAGCCACTATTTAGAAATCACTTGCAACTCATCTCTGAAATACAGCAGCTGGCTTAGCAAGGGCACAGGAAAATTCATGATGAGGCTCCAAGGAACTGCCTGGGAAACAGAGCAGACCTCAGCACCTCACATGGGTTCTGGACAAAGTGCCAATTTACAAATGACACAATTAGATGTCTGTATTCTTGCATGTAATCATCAGTTGCCTCATGGCTTCTCCAAAAAAGGCGTGGATTCCATCTTGTGTGCAAACAAATATTTAGCATTCAAAATCAAGTGGTTTCAATTAGCCTCATCACTAGATTGCAGAGCTCAACCCTGGCAGATTGACTTTGCTTCTGTGGGGCAAAACACCTGTAAAGGGGCAGTCAAGGACCTCTCTCCAAGTAAATGGTTGTCTTGAGGTAGCAAGGCTGTCTTGCACTCTTTTATCTGCTACACAGAGGAGAGGCAGGGCAAGAGGCTGAACAGTTGTCCCATGGGACGTGTGTCAGCTGAAACACTCAGCCTAATGTAAATCTCCACCAGAGACTTTCTAACCAGGCACACAAAGCTCGTTTTGCATGATTTCCAGTGTCACACTCTTGCCACTGTGAGATAGAAATAAACTTTCTGCTTGAATTGTAGAAAATGACACATGACTCACCTTGCGTGTTCAAGCCCCCCAGTTTCCTCTCTGCCAAGGTGAACTCCCTTCAGATATCTTCCCACATTCATGGACCACACCGACAGCCTTTCCCCAGCTTATGAGATATGCACAAGCGACATGTCTCCTGTTCCTGTAGTGATCCCCTGTCATAGGAGAGAGACTGGGCTGGGGAACACTTCCTCTCCTTGGGGAAACTGCAACAGAAATTTCTGGTTTTTCTGGTTTTTGAGAATGCCAACAGCTTCATGGCAAACTTGCCACCTTCACTGCTCTACTGAGGTCACAGGCAAAAGACCAGTGTTTCTCAGTCACTCAAATTTCTAAGTCTGCTTTCCTTTACCCAGCAGGGAACATGAAGCACTCTGTTACATTTACAATCTCCTAATCTGCCACACTTTGCCCTGTTTTACCATTGAATGCATAGCTGGCATCCAGTCTGACAGAAAATGCTCCCTTGTTGAAGATGATCAGAAAAAGCCAAAAGAGAATTTATGCACTTCGGTACCTAAGATCACTTTTTTTTATTAAAAATGAAACAATTTTTCTCTATGTAGGGCCATTTTTCTATATTAAAGAGGAAATAATTTTCATCTAGCTTTGCATGGAATGGTGAACATGAACAATAAGAGAGACAAGGAAGTAACAGCCCAGTTCTCTCAGAGGAACACCGCTGACTCTGTAACTGAGAGGCAGGGTTTGCAGAGATGTGGTAGCTTGTACAAGACAGACTGCCATAGCTGCAGAAACAGGCTTGGGGTACTTGAGCCTCTGCAAATGCGCCAGCCTACAACACAGTGTACAAGCTGGGTACAGGGAGAAAGGTACTGCTTAATTTAATTATGGTAGTTGATTAAGCAAGTTATGAGTTAAATGTAATTATCACTTCAGGAGCAGTGGGTGGATGCTAAGCCAAGAGAAAGACAAGGTTTATTTCTGTGGTGCAAGAGAGGAGTGGTACAGGTCATCTCTGGCTGGATAACAAGGAAGGGTTAATTGAGGTGAACTGAAAACTGTTGGTGAGGTCTCTCTCTGCTTTTTTTGTCTTGAGACAGTCATGTTCTGAAGGGTTTTGTGGTCATCCTCAGGACCCTGACCCAGAGAAGGTAAAACAGTTTCTCTCATTGGAGGAGAGGTCTAATGGAGAGGGTTCTGTATTCCTCCTCTACACTGGGTTGTCTATTCTTGGCCATTTAGTCAGCCTGCAGCTTAAGTTTCAATGAGCCTCAGTCAATCCCTGCCTGTGCAGCAGCTCATTTCTAAGTGTGGAGATGATTTCACTGTGGGTGCTGTGGGGCAAAGTCTTCTTCATTGTGTTTGCCCACGGCCTCAGCCTTTCCTTCTTGGGTATCTTTCATTTTGAGGCAGACCTGAGCAACTTAGGAAAAAGCACAGTGAAAACTAAGAAACTGCCACATTTAGTGGTGGCCTAAGGGGGTGCTGGTGTCTAACAGGGGAGACACTGGTGCCTTTGGATGTGGAGGACTGATGTTCCTGGAAACCATGGAGAAGACATCTATGAGGAGCAGCCCTGTGAGTGATGACAGGTCACCTTCTCTAAAAGTCACTTAAAGACCAAAAGTCAGTTCCTGGTTAAATGCCAGCACCCGGCGAAGGGGTGAGCAGTTTCTGTGTGCTGGCACTTTGGCTTCCTTGACCTCACCATTTCCCAGGGGCAAAGAGAGAGTAGACCTACACAGCTGTGGTCTGTCTCCCTTGGGCTCCTCTCTGGGCATGACAGCCAAGCCTGGTGCCAGACACCCCACATGGCATGTCTGGGAGTTGGGGCTGGAAGAACAGGGTGCAATGCAAGGTGCGTGGTCTTGAAAAACCTCGCATGCTGACTGGTCTCTAGGAAAAAGTCAAACACGCCAAGGGTGTCACCAACCCATCTCACATCCAAGGGAAGGGTTCAGCTCGCTAGCTCCCATGTAGCACCAGTGCCTGGACTGTGGCAGGATGCTGGTGGCTGGGAAGGACTGGCTCTGCCTGCCCATGGCAGGACAGCCATACTGCTGGACTGTTGGCACGTTCTGCATCCCAGCCCCGTGCTGGCGGAGAGACCATTAATAAGACTTTCCAGCCTGTCACTTCCATGCTGAATCCTTTGAAAGCTGCACTCCTCTGGGCCCATTAGAGGGAGGAACTGTCTCTGTTGAAACATATGGGGCTGTCAGGCTCTGTCTGTTGCTCTGAAAGCTGCCGCCGCTCTGGCTGTTAGCTGACGGGGGTGGGTAGCGGCCGTCTTGAGGAGGCTGTGATGAGGATGGGGGCTTGGTAAGGGGCTGGGGGAAGATGGCAGGTGAGCTGGGAGGGAGGCTGGTAAACAGTGTGCTGGTAGTGTACTGGTAGCTGATGGGCTGCTGTAGGACACTGGGATGCTGGTCAGCTCAAAGGGAATCTGGCATGTTATGGGCTTGATAGGGGGAAGAGGACAACGGAGTAAGCTGAGTGATGAATATCAGGTAGGCATGTAGGGGTAGGCTGAGGCGGCAGGAGATATGCCTGACAGCAGAGTTGTTTGGGCTTGTCTGGGGAAGGAGAGGATGGCAGCAGTGCTGGGTGACTCAATGGGGACACTGGAAAAGGGAGACTTTGGAAAGTATCATGCAGTCACATGGTGCTGGAGTTTCTTATTAACCAGCACACCCGCCCCTCAGCTCCATTTGTAGAGACTGAAGAGGATTTAATGGAGTCACTTGACTTTTTGCTCTGAAATATTCATAGGTTTTAGCAGTCCATTTCATGCTCACCTCCTTCTCCATTAGTGAGCATCGAAGAGGGACTGGGTGGAAAGTAGGCTGCTGTGGTGCTGGGGAGACAGATAAAGAGACCTGTGCCTCTGACCAGGGACCACTGGGAAGCGACCCGCCCCTGGGCTGCTCCCTGTCCCTCTCAGTAGGTCTGCAAAATGACTTGAAATGAGCCCTGGGCAGCATGCACAAGGTGGTGATTAATACAGTGGGAAAGGAAGGAAACCAATTAAGTAGACAGTGCTGTGTGGAGCTGCTGCCCCCAACCCTGTCACACAGATAAACCCTTGCCTGTCTCCCTGCCCATCTTCATAATTTGCAAGGCCAGGAGCTCTGTAAGAATTGCACAGGCTGACAAAAATGCCTGGAGGCAATTAGTTTCCTCTTTGCCTTAGCACTAATGCTGTGCTAGGATACAGGGAAAGTCCAGAGCTTCAGTGAGACAGTACAGAAGCATGCTGGATTTTGGATGCTCTGTCTGCAGTACTTGACACAGCAAGGATTCGGCTGGGAAGTGTGAAGGAAGGGT